TTTTTCTCTCTTTCTCGTGTACATACACGCACACGAGAAGAATAGTGCCACAATACGCAACAGAGTTGAGAAGCTCGAAGTTAGGCTTCTTCTTTCTCCTTTTTTTTCTTCCTCTCTCTCTCGTTCTTACTCCTTCTCTCTTTGAAGCAGAGAACGAACAGTGAGTAAATGCTCTCTCTGGGGGTCAATGTACAGGCGCACGGCGTGACCGAAATCACACACACGCTCGTTGCAACCCGCTCGACTGTGACTTTGCTTCGTCTTTATTTGGCTTCTAATTGTTCCTCGTTGATGATGATGATGATGGTATGTCCAACGACTCCTGGACGCGAGATCATCCGTCGAAAGTTCGAGTAGCGTGGATATACAGGTCGTACCATCCAACTTTCACTTGCATTTTTCATAATCCCCCCCTTCTCTCTCTCTCTTTTTCTTTCTTTTCTGTCGTTCACTCGGAGAAACGATTACGAAACGAATTTATTCGAATCTAGATCATACTGATCCATATCTAAATCTGTATAGTGATTCAGTACTGATTCAGATTCTGATACGATACAGGTGTAATAGAAATAATTGATCTGTAGTTGTAAAACTTCATTAGAAAGATAATGTTTTGTTTATGGAGTGAAGAGTTACTAGTTTAGTAAAAGCATTTCGATGGTAGAGCCAACTGTTTAGTAAAATATACCACGTCCATTTATAGTTGGGTGTACGATGAAAGACTTTAGTTCCAAAAATTAATATTTCAAAATGTAACATATTTAGTTGAACGAACGTATTAGTTTCTGACCACTCTCTAAATTTGAATTAGCTAAAATTTCACTGTTTGAATCAGCGAATAAAGTTTTCACTGCAAATCAGTGGATACAGCTAATAAAATAGCGAAACACAAATCGGCGAACGTCGGTCATTTTCGTCGGAAGATAAATTTATTTTTAAAATGGAGTATTCCGCTGATTTAAATAGTTGTTAGTCGCTGATTCGCAGCTGTCCATCAGCGAATTTTAGCTGATTCAAATTTAGAAAGCATACTGAAAATTAGTATGGATTGTATTAATTTTCTGGTATTTGTATTTGGTTTGGAAACTAGTTTCCCTTTTCAGAACGTAGCAGTTTCTGACCAATACTTAAAATTAGTATGTACCATATTTATTTCCTGTATTATTTGGTCAGAAACTGGTAAATTTTGTAAGTAAAACTAGTGTTCTAGTTTCTAACCAAATAATACCGAAAATTGATAACATCCACTAATTTTCAGTATGGTCAGAATTTGGTACGTCAATTCTACTACGCCCTCTCTATTTCATTTCATTCTAAACAGATTGCGTGATATTTGTACATATTAAGAGAAACTGACGCACCAATAGGTTACATATTCATAATTTTGCGCAAAAAGTCTTAACCAAACAGGTGGGCAGTAAAGAAAAAAAGAATACATCAGCCTAAAAATCACGACGATTTGTCGTACTCATTCTAATTTACACTGTGTGACTTTTTTTCTTTCTCTCTCTTTCTCACTTTGGCGACGAACATAACTAGGTAATACCACTGTAAGGGGAAGATCCCACTTAAAGGTGGGTCTATTACCGTCTTCGGACAATGCCGTTGGCTTCTTTAAGATCAGGTTAGGTCGGAGTGTACAACTACCTGCGCGCGGGAAAGAGAGAGAGAGAATTGTGGCTTGTGGTGGTGGGATTCAGGGCCCTCGGTAGAAGGGAGAAACGATGAGGGCCCCAAGTGTCGCAGAGGCCAGATTAATGGTCCCAAAGAATTCTTGGTAGCCTATACTATGACTATACACGCGGTTCATTTCCTCACCGCAGTGAAATAGTAACGCGTCTTTATTATTTTCATTCTTTGATTTAAATTCGCATTGATATCATATTTGAATTATAAGTATCAAACGGATGTTTATTTCTAAATTTGCTTACAGAAAAATTAGGTTAAAAACAGCTCATAATTTTTTTTAAAAATTATGCATTTCATTTAAAAAAAGGCGGATGTATTTTCAATACATAACTTAAAATCTACAAAGAATTTAGTATCATTTGAGAAGCGAAATTTTGAAATCTGTTGCTTCCGTTCAGGTACTAAGAGGACAATAAACTCGGCGTCCTTAACGCATTGTGAAATAAATTCCTAAGAAGTGAGGGTCTTCAAAATACATATTCTTTGTGTGAAAAAAAAAAAAAAAAAACTCCATCGAGGTTGAAGGATGAGACAAAAAAAATTAATAATTAAATATTATATGTAGAGGAAAATTTCATAAGGATTTTTCGATCTTAGTCACTCGAATTTATGTAGTCTTTCGAAATACAAGTCTGGATCATAAGTTTACAAGTAGAAGTTGAAAGCAAATGATGGCGTCGAGTGGAGATTTAATGAGGAATAGGGTGAGGGGGGGAAGGAAAAAATTGTACTCTATACACACACGTATCAGAGAAAAGTCTCTCTCTCTCTCTCTCTAATTTTCTCTTCGCAGCATCGATTTACTCTCTCTCTCTCTTTCTCTCGGGAGGGACAGACAAGAAGGTTTATACCGCGCATTACCTGGAATTTTTCCATCTCTAAACTTTCTGTGTATTGTGTGTGAGAGAGAGAGAAGGAAAAAAAATATTGCAAATACCTTTTATTTTGCTCTTGTCTCAAAAATTTACCTGCGCGTTGACCTGAGTTTTACTATTTTAATCCTAATAATGGTAGTTTAGACCCAAACTTACCTGAATTTACTTTCTCCCCTCATATAACATTGGTTTCGCGCTGTTAAAGTCTCGTCATCACTTTTTGTGTATAAATATTACTGTAAATTTGTTTCAAATCAAAGTTCCCCTTCCCCCCCAAGGTGATGTTTGAATCCCTTAAAATAAGTTGTTTAAAAGCAAAAGAGTGTGGCGGAGAAAATTGTCTATATTCAGATTGCATTCAATGTATTATATTCCATCACACAAAACTACTACACTTGACTCGTTGCAATGTGGTTTGCCTACCTGATTCCTGTTTTGAATGTGTCAAAACATATAATTTGTCAACGAGATTTTGCTATTCAACAAGTCCTCTTTATAATACTTAATATATGAATTAGGTATTTTTTGTGTTATCATGTTAATGAAGCATTTATTTTTCTGTTTCCAAAATGTTGGGCTTAAAAAAAAAGAAAAATTGCATAATTTTCAAATTTTATATAGAATATATTTATTGCGAAATTCTTGTCTCATATATGAAAGGATAATCGTAACCGCACCTACGCGAAACTTTCCCCTGTACTACTTGTGCGTTCGGCGAAAAGAAACTATACTCTGCCATTGTACATGAATCTAAAAGTAACAAATTATGCCTTCCAGATAAAATTGTTTCGAAATATTTTTTCTTTTAGAAAACTAATTAAAAGTACTAGTTTGCTATTTTTCGTTTTAAAAAAACTGTTCTAGAATCAAGGGATAACATAACCTCAAATTTTGTGAAAATTTCATTTATCTTTTTCTTTTAAAATACACAGAATGGAGTAACTTTTGTTCGAATTTACTGTTATTTCGCACTGTGATTATTATTTGACGGTACCATAAATTTAAATTAATTTACCATTAAAAAAATTATCGTTTATATAGTACCGTGTATAAGGAAAAATAATGGAATTTAATATTACTTGTATCAATACTAAATTTTTTTTTAAACACTTTTGTCTGAAGCAAATTAAAGTACAGGGTTTTTGTTTTATTTTTATTTTCATAACTCTCGAATAGCTTTTTAATTACAAATGGCCGAACAAATAATCGACAGAAATATTTAGGCGCTTTTTTTAAAATCAAAAAATGCGCCTAAATCTTTTTGTCGATTTTCAATTTCGGACAAATGAAAATTCAATGCAATGAAATTCTATCAAGACACTGAATTTTCATTTGTTCGAAATTACAAATAGCCGAAGAAACAATCGACAGAAAGATTTTGGCACAATTTTTCAAAATTTATCAATTCTTGATAATTTCTAATTGGTCGTTTTTTAAAAATTGCGCGGAAATCTTTCTGTCGATTGTTTGTTCGACCATTTGTAATTTCGGACAAATGAAAATTCAATGCATATGAAATTCTATCAAGACACTGAATTTTTATTTGTTCGAAATTACAAATAGCCGAAGAAACAATCGACAGAAAGATTTTGGCACAATTTTTCAGAATTTATCAATTCTTGATAATTTCTAATTGGTCGTTTTTTAAAAATTGCGCGGAAATCTTTCTGTCAATTGTTTGTTCGGCCATTTGTAATTTCGGATAAATGAAAATTCAATGCATATGAAATTCTATCAAGATACTGAATTTTCATTTGTTCGAAATTACAAATAGCCGAAGAAACAATCGACAGAAAGATTTTGGCACAATTTTCAAAATTTATCAATTCTTGATACTTTCTAATTGGTCGTTTTTAAAAATTGCGCGGAAATCTTTTTGTCAATTGTTTGTTCGGCCATTTGTAATTTCGGATAAATGAAAATTCGGTAGCTAAAAATTAGTACGAAAAATAAATTTTTGAATAAATTAAAATATAATTTGAATTAAATAGTATTAAGTTTTATAGACATATGTGACATGCGTCATTATTGAAAATTTGTCGGATATACATTAGACGTTGTCATATAAATGTCGGAATGATATCTTTCTCTCGTCACTTTTGTTTGTGCCCTAAGGGGAGAACTATATATATATATATAGTTGTTGTAGATGCCTAAAAGAAATAGGTTAACGTTTCACCCCTTGGGAGGAAGAAGGCAAAACGAAGGGGTTAGGGTTTATAGTTGTGATGCGTGGACGCGTCGGCTGTTCATATTTATTCCTCCTTCTCTCCGCCACTTCCCTTGTAGCACCAAAAGGAGAGAAGCCAGTATAGAGCGTCGTGTGCGTGAATATCCTCCCTTCCACAACGATGATCCAGCGTCGTTTTTCCTGCAGCCCCCTTTTGAGTCGTTATATAGAGGGGGCGATTGTAGCGCCACTATACTCTGTTGGTCCGCAGTAATGCGACCGCTTCCGAAGAGCGTAGTCGTCTTCGTGATAGTTGTTGTTCATTAATATTTCTCTCGTGTCATTCAAAAAAAAAACTTCTTTTTTCATCTGAAAAGAAAATAAAATTCATCTCACAAACTAACAAAATTTAAATTCACAATTTTTTCAATTAAATCTTTTTTTTATTTTCATCATTTGATTCGTGTTTTTGTTGGTCTTTTTGGGGAATTTTTCAAAGAAATGCACAATTTAAGTGATGAGATATGTTGTTTACGTCGAAAAATGGATTCATGTGGATTGGTTCTATGTGGATTATGTGTCGGGCACCAACCGGTGACTGATTAAAAATAGAATGTTAATGATGATGATGATTTTTTGACTGGAGTTTTTTTTTTCCTAAATGATCGATGCAAGTTCTAGAGAGAAAGGGTGTAGGGACGATGGGCAAAAGATGTGATACGTCGCAACGACGACGTGACAGCCACGTGCCCTCAAGACTTGGTTGTTGCTACTTGCTAGTTGAAGCTCAATAATAGTTACTTACAACCTGAAAAATCGATTGTGATAAACAGTGAAGAAAGTGCAATATCTTCGAATTAATAAACACTTGTTAGAAGGTTTACTCAATAAGTAAAAAAAAGTATATATGTTAAGCTTTTTTGTAGCTTAATATTCGAAAATCGTCAAGAAGAATATTTATCAGTCATATAGGATAATTAATCTAAAAATAGCTTTGAGTGAGACACGAACGTTCCTATATTGTAAAGGTCCTCTCTTCCGTCCTTGTATTTGTCTAATCGGAAGAATAGTCTTCTTTCCCCTAACTTCCATTAAATGTTTCGTGTAGATTTTAAGGCATTTTCTTCTCCATTTGTGTCTGGAAATAAATAGTGCAAAGTTAAAGTGTTGTGGTGCTACGTTTAAAAAAGTGACGTCTAAAAAAAACCACGTGGTCAAAACTTGAAACTAATTTTCAGAACCTTAAACGGTTCGAAGATTTTCTTGTGAATATAAAAATTGAAATTTAAAAACAAAAAAAACAAAAAATAGTGTATTTAGTGACAGCCCGGGGTTTGAAGAGACTGGTGGCGTCGTGGAGGGGGGAGTAATGCCGGTGAGGGTGGCGCAACGCCCCCCAGGTGGAATAATCCACGCCGGTGCACCGGTAGCGCCAGGCTCAATAGTGGGACCCGGAACATCGGGCCGTTGCCTCGGAGGACCAACGCCAGTCGGTTCCCCCCCATTGGGCCTGGGGGGTGGTACAGGCGGCGTAAACACGAACGCACCAAATCCATTACAAGCGATGGCATCAGCTGCTGCATCGCTAACACAATTGAATAATATGGCAAATGGGCCATTACCACCATTAGGCAGTGGACCAACGGGACCACCAAATTTACCACCACCACAACCAGCAACAACACCAACACACGGTGGTCCTCCAACACCACATCAAGGTGTAAGTGGACCACATCTCAATGGTGCATCACCAAGTCCCCATTCAATGCCACCCCATGGTATGATGAGTAGTTCACCTCACGCCTCACATCCTCATATGGGTGGTGGTGGACCATCACCTCATCCACATCATCCTGGACCTCATATGGTTAGTTCACCTCATCATCCCGGTCCTCATATGGGTCCAGGCGGTATGATGGGACCTGGTATGCAACCACAAGGTGGACCCGGGATGTGTGCACCTGGTCCCGCTGGTCCAATGGGACCACATCCTCATCCTCAAGGACCTGGCATTCCAGGTCAACCGCCCATGCCCAACGATCCATTCTACTGTACACCGTTTGGCTCGCCATTCTACAGGTAAATCTCACTCTGTGGTTTTTGCCACTCAACATTCTCTCTTCTCTATCCAAACTGTTATGGAATGCAGGAAACCATGTGAAAGGTTTAATACGGTCCTTTAAATTTAGCAGATTTGTTCTTTATACTTTGTTAGTTAGATTTTTAGATATACTTTGTTAGTTTCGAAATTATCGATCTTGGTTTTTTATGGTTGTTTTTATTGGAGTTTTCCTTTTAAAAATTATTACAACAGAAAAAAAATTGTTCAATGCTAAAACCCTCAAGTAGGGTAAAATTTGTTGCAGTGCTTCAGACGCATTAAATTAGGATAATAATTGCCCTCAACTCATATAATAGTTCTATTGAGCATCTGATGCACCAAAAATTTTTGATGGTGTTCTGATTTTGCACTACTTAGTTGAATGAACGTAACAGTTACTGACCATACTGAAAATTAGTATGGATTGTATTAATTTTCGGTATTGGTTTTGGAAACAGTTTTGCATTCAGAACCATAGTTTCTGACGAATACGGAAAATTAACAGGGGTTTATATACTAATTTTCAGTATTGGTCAGAAACTGGTTGTGAAAGCAAAATTGTTTCCAAAACCAAATAATAGCGAAAATTAATACGATCTATATTAATTTGTAGTATGGTCAGAAATTGGTACGTTACATTCAACTAAATGGTAAAAACAGAATTCTATTTTGAAATTGTCTTTCAGTTGTGCAATGATTTTGTAATTTCTTGTAGTAGAGTGCCGAATCTGTTACACGGAACCTAGTAAAATGTTAACTAATCGGAAAAATTAACAGTGATAAAGATTTCACTACTGAACATTTTAGTTACACACTGAGAAAAAATATGCTATTGAATCATAGCATTTCTGACGAAAGGTATAAAAATTATCGATTCAAAAGCATATACTATAGAATCTATAAAATATTTTACAAATTTTATAGCATATGCTTTTGAATCAATAATTTGTTATGCCTTTGACAGAAATGCTGTTGATTCAATAGCATATATTTTTCTCGGTGTATTTAATCGAATACACATCCTTAATTGTAATTAACAAGCATTTTTACTTAAAAGATTATTATAAGAACATTATTTCTACGGATTTATAAATATTTCTAAACTTCAAATTCTGTTTAAAATCAGTTTCAATATTTTATGACGTGAGGGATTATACTATTTTTTTTTTTATCTTTGAAAAAAGTTTTGTTACCTCAATTTGAAGATAACTGTTCGGAAGTGCCTCTTCTTCTTGTACACACATGGTAACAGTATACGTTGAGAATCCGTTATCATAGTCATGCGGCACACCAGATTCCTATACATATATATGTGTGTGTATCCAAACTCTAGAATCTTCTGACAAAGTTAACCGATTCGTTGTGTGTTCGCCAAAAAATGAAAAAGTAGATAAACTCATCTTACGACCTTTCGAGTTATTCGAGTCAAGGACCGTTGGAGCAGTTGTCCCTGAAACTTTTGAATTCCTCTCATGTATCCCGAACCACTTTCAAGAATCTTTCGTTCGTATGAGAAATTCTTGGTTGAGTTTGATTTTTGCAAATTATTATATTTTATGGGAAGTTTTTCTATTTCTATTCTGATTTTTATTTATTCAATTCAAAGTGTATGATAGATTTTTCGATAGATTTTGTTTTTCTTTTTTCTTTGAGGGTTTTTGATTAGTAAAAAAAAAAGTGACAATATTTCAAGAAAACGCGCGCCATGTCTATTTTGCACTTTTCGAGGTCATTTGTCAGGTGCGGCTTAAGTCCTCGAAAGCTTCCTTCGTTCAGGTGCTACGCAGGTGGGAGGGAGGAACTTAAACGCAGGTGCTCGTGGGATCAACAAAACGCAACTGACTTATAACTTACTGATTTCCTGAATATAGTTTTGTTGGAGAAAAAATTAGAATTTTGTCCTAAAAATAATTTTTCGCTTTTCAGTAAAATTATAGTTTTTCTCAAAAAGATTATTTTGCGATAGTTTTTTAAAATTTTTTATTATCGGGATAAAGAGAATTAGAGATTATTCGCAATATTAGTACAAGATATCGGAAGTAAGTCACAGGTCTTATCTTATCACTGTTTTTTTTTTGTGAAGTTACAAAAGACCTTGATCACACTTTTAATAATTTTGATATATAGAACAATTGTACAAGATTCAAAATATTGATTTTATAAATTGTAATTTTTATTACTTTTGTAAAATTAAAATTTTTTTAAATTTTAATATTTTCAAAAGAATAAATTTAGTAATTTAATGAAAAATTCTATTATTTAAATGACAATGAAGTATCTTATTTCTTTTTTTAAACTGTTTTTAAAACACAATTCTTTGGATTAGATTTCCTTTTTAAACTTCCTGCCTACTTATTTCCTGCGTGAGTTTTACCGGTAAAAAGAATATATATATACAACATTGCCACGTAAACCAGCATTCACGTATCGTCTTCGTCATTGCTTGAAACTTGAGTTCATTTCTGGAAGATAATACTAAAGCGCACGTGCGTTTATATAGTGTACAAATGCGTAATGCATTTGATAAATTTATTTTTATCGAGAATTTTCTATATTATTTCAAAAAATTAAGAAAAAAATTTATTTGATTCAAATAATTTTATCAAATATTTACTTGGATCGAAATAATTTCTGTAATTGAAACAAATAGAATTTAATTGACTCAAAAATTATTTGTAAATATTTATTTGATAATGGTATAACTTTATTTGAATCAAATAAATACATTTTTTTCTTTTTGAAATTTAATTTCATCAGGAAATAGGAATTGTTAGTATGTACTTTTTTGCGATTTAAATTTTGCTAGAAATGTCGATGCAGGTGTCTCAGTAGACAGGTGTAATTTGGCAAACGTTGTTCCAAATTATTAAAGTCTTGGCTTTTCTGCAAAATTTATACACTTGGCTTGGCTTGATTATTATTCATCTTTAAGACCCGCTAACCATAGAACATTTAAACCTCTCAACATCTACAATTTTGAAATAAATTGCCCGATGTGTATTTCGTATATATATGTATGTCTTGTAAAATACAGATTATAAAGGAAGAAATTTATCCAGAACATGTTTGGACTATTTTGACAATTTAATAAACTCTAATCATGATGCTTAAGTCTGCTCTCTAAATCTGAATTAGTAAAAATGTTTACTAATTTAAATTAGTGACTCACTTTTTGCTTTAGAATTAGTTAAATTTTACTAATTGTTAGTAAAAGTTACTAATAATAATTAGTAAAATTTTACTCATTCAGAAGCAAAAAGTGAGTCACTAATTCAAATTAGTAAATATTTTTACTAATTCAGATACGAAGCTGAAGTACTCAACGTTTATATAAACGATTTTTAAAGAAATAATTTTTTAAAATGAAAAATTCTATAATTTTTTGCCTAAAAAATATTTTTTTTTTTTTATAATTTGTTGGTTAACGAAAACTACAATAAATATTTTTTAGGCAAAAAATTATAGAATTTTTCATTTTAAAAAATTATTTCTTTAAAAATCGTTTATCATAAACGTTGCGTAGGTACTCTCTAAATCTGAATTAGTAAAAATGTTTACTAATTTGAATTAGTGACTCACTTTTTGCTTCTAAATTAGTAAAATTTTACTAATTGTTAGTAAAAGTTACTAATAATTAGTAAAATTTTACTAATTCAGAAGCAAAAAGTGAGTTACTAATTCAAATTAGTAAACATTTTTTCTAATTCAGATTTAGAGAGTACTTCAGCTTTGTATTCAGATTTAGAGAGTGCAACGTTTTTATAAACGAAAACGAAAAAATAATTGCGGACAATATCTATTACTTTGGTTTAAAATTAAAATTATTCAAGGGTTACTGGTTTTTTATAAAAGTTATAATTTCTTGAAAGTTTGTGCAAATCAAAATTAGAGATAAATTTGACATGAAAAAATAATTCTATTTTAATTTTTCGTTTTTGAAAATGTATACTTCAGCATCATCTCTAATCAAAATATTCTTGATTCTTAAATAATTAAATTATTTAATATGTTCCAATTTTAATTCGAAAAAAATATTGCATCACATAATCAGCTTATAGGCTACTTTCCATTTTTTTTTTACATTCTCATTTTATTGACAGTCGAATCGCGATTCATGTTGGATCGTAAAATTTTTATGAGCCAAGTTACTTGGATCTTTTACAAGTGTCATTGACTACCGTGGGAAAAATTCTGTATTTTTAATTAAGGTGCACAAATTTTCTTTCTTATTTTTGAAATTTTTTGTCATTTTTCAAAAATATTTTTTGGTTTACAGTTTTTTTTTTTTTCTTTTCGAAGTCAATAAAACAAGATAAATTTCTTAACCATAATTAATAATAGTGATTTAGGTTCCCTGAATGTTGAGACTTTTCTCTATGTCTGTATAATTAACTTAATTCACCACAGTGGCAAACCTGTCAGCGAAACATTTATTATTTGAATTACGTTTGATTACAAGTAAAATTAATTGCACCAGTTATTAAACCTTATTACTAGTCATTACACTTTTAAAGATGAAAATGTTTCGATAAGAAATAAATTATTAGATAAATTCCAAATAAATAGATATATTTTATATAAGTTTTGTCGGATCACACCATATAGAAATAAAATATTCGCAATTATACTAAAATATAAATGATGTAAATAATCTTCTTGAGTACCGTTTCTTGCCTTTTACTTTCGCGAGTTTGGGATCAGTTTTTTTCTTTCTCTCTCTTTTGTGAATGTGAAACTTTCATATTGAATTCAAATTTTTATTATCAAGTAGCTGTTTTTCTTTCTTCTTTTGTGTTTTATAATTTTTTTTTTTTTTTGATAGATAAATCAAACGTCTAAACTGTAAATAATAAAATTAGTGTTCCCTGTCCAAATGCAGCACGTGACCTCGTAGACCTCGCCAAGTGTCTGTATATTCCGTAGAGAGTCGTGGGTTCACCCGATCTACCTGCGGCTCTCTCGCACTCTTGTTGTATAG